GCAATTATATTCATACACTGAATCAAGGTTTATCCTCAGATCATGAATATAACAAGACATTTCTAATGTATTGTTCCCCCTGTTTATAGACACATATATTCATCTTCTGTCTCCCAAATAAGTAAMTCCAATGCCGAAACGAAATTTTYGCCYYGAAGTTGTTGTAATCGGTCATTMTCAAAAGCATATACATTATCTTTTATCACAACCCAGCTGCACGCCTTCGTCTTCTGCACAGCTATATTCTCCATGGCCGTCTTGACACGAACCATACTTTCCCATCGACCTCTCATCGCGTAAGCTTGAGCCAGCACGRAATACGGTAGGGATGATTGTGGATCCAGCTTCATCACAGTTTCTGCAACTCTTTCAATGAAGTTCAAGTCTCCATGAATTGCACARGCATTRAGGAGTGATTTCCAAAATGTAGGAGTTGGTTGGCATGTTGTTGTTTTGATAATGTTAACTGCTTCTTCAAATTTACCAGTACGATTCAGCAAGTCCACCACACACGCATAATGCTTGTTCCTCGGTGCGACTACGTGTTTCTTCTCCATCACAGAGAAGATGGCCAACCCTTCGTCGACAAAACCTGCACGGCTGCAGGCTAATAACACCCCTGCTAGTGTTATCCTATCTGCCAGTACACCTTCCAAAACCAAACTTTTGAAAGTGTGAAGGGCCTCAATGTATTTGCCATTCTTAACCAGACCTATAATCATAGTGTTCCAAGATATCAAATCTCTTACAGGCATATCTGTAAAGACTTTCATGGCATTATCAACTGAACCAACTTTAGCATACATGTCTACTAGCAAACTAGCGACAATGGCGTCAGATTCAAAACCCAACTTAAGAACCAAATTGTGGATTTGACTAACCAACTCCACAGGTGTGAAGACTGAGATAGAGCTCAGCACACTGCTGAGTGTAATCTCAGTTGGCCTCAGGTTCTCCCTCAAGGTATAAACACAAAGCCTCAGAGAATCCCTCAAATGACCATGCCAGGAAAAGCTTGAGATCATGACATGACAAAGAGCTGGATCCCATCGATTGGTTTCTTCAAAAAGCTGCACTGAATCCTTCAAGTTGTTGCATTTGGAAAACAAGTCAATAGCAGCACTAAGGACAATGTTGTTAGAAGTAAATCCCATCTTGAAACAGAAAGCAAAAATTTGCTTACCAAAATCAAACGCTTGGAGGCCACAACAGACACTCATCACTGTTGATACAGTGAACTCATCAGGAGAGTGCTCAGTGGTTCTCATTAGAGAGAACTGATTTAGTGCCAATACTCTAAAGCCTGATCTGTGGCAGCCCAAAATCAAAGAGTTCCAAGAAATAACATCCACCTTTTCCATTGTAAAAAATATGGCAAACATATAATCAACAAGGCCAACTTTTCCATACATATCAATTAACGAATTCCCAAGCACCACACTAGACACATCCACACCACTACGAATCATACTACCATGAATTTGCTTACCATGACGAGTACACGACACAAGTGACATCAAAATGGAAAATGTATACTCACTTGATCTAAAACCAGCATTTTGCATATCCAGAAAAACAGCCATAGCACTATCACCAAACCCAGATGAGACATAGCCAGAAATCATGGAGTTCCATGAAACAGTGTCTCTCTCAGTCATTTCATCAAACAACTGGCATGCACCTTTAATATCACCAAATTGAAACAAGCCCTTCAAGCATATGTTCCAGGATATAAAATTCTTCTCTTTAATGTCATGAAATACTTTCAATACCTCATGAACGGGACCAAATAACCCGTATAGCTGAAGACATCGATTGCCCAAAAAAGTATTGTTGTTAAGGCCAAGCTTTACCAACTGAGCATGGATTGTTTTCGCAATATGAACAGATCTTAGTGCTAAACATTGGTCTATCAACTGAGAATACAGAGAAATGGAAGCTCTATGCGCACCAACAAGTTTCTTCAGTAGGAGGCACATACAAATACGGTAGCCACTATGAATAACGAAACTTGGGTTCGACCAACGGTAGAATATAGCCACTATGAATATGCATGTCAATTAAAGAGCTTGAAATAACATCATCCTCTTCAAAACCTACTTTAAGTTAAAGGCTTTCCGTGCTTAGACAAGGAACACCCTAAAACCTACCACAGTGGCACAGTATATATCTCAGACGCTTGAGCAATATTCCAATTCAAATACAGAGAACTTTAAAGTTCTTGAGCAATCATACAGTAAATATAAAACAGAAGAGAGAAATCCCATTTCACACTATTGAATTTATCAAAAGAATAAACCTATAATTGCACTAATTTTTTATTAATCGAGAAGCAATTACAAAATTTAAGGGAATTTTTCCACTATGATTAGACAAATATGGGGTGAAGATTCGAACTTACTCGGAAGAAGGAAGAAGTAAGATGCCTACGACTCTCTATTATAAAACAAACAGTATACATATGGTTCGGTATTGTAAAGTCGAAGAAGATTTGGACATTAAATCAGAGCTCTAAGTTCTTTAACCTACTTTGCTCAGATTTCAGAAACTAGAACTAAGAACAACTAAGCAGAAGGTCAATTACAGTATTCAGAGCAAATACCCACTTGGTCTTCACCTCCAAAATGCATGGAACCCAAAATAAAAGCTTTACGAATTTTGATAATAAAAAACAAGGGCAAAGTCGTCTTTTACCTTTTTGAAACAAAGCTTCGAATTTATGAGAATATTTGGCCTGAAAATTTCATTATTGTTCATTTTATAATTATTATGATGAATTAAACACAAAGATTTGTATGTACACAAAGGTACATTAGGATATTCATGTGCTTGTTCGGGAGTCGAAACTCCATGAAAGCATTCGACATTGTTTGATTTAACTGAGAAATAATAAGACATTAATTAAGGGTTTCGACTGTGATGAATTTGATTTTAACTGAAAAGTGCATTGGACCTTTATTCAAGGCTTCGTATCTGTTGGGTTTGATTTCTGAAAAATGCAAAATATGTACCGTACTTTTTATTCAAAGTTGCGACCTCAATGGGTTCAATTTTACAAAATAAATAAAATGCACCAGACCATTTTCAAGACTTCCACCTCCATGAGTTTGATTTAATCGAAAAATGCAATAAAATTGGACCTTTTAGAGACTAACCCTCTCTTTATTGAATTATTTGAAATTCGAGAAATGATTTTAAATTCTTTATTTTGTTTGGAACGAGAATGATTTGAAACTAATTAAATTAGATTTCTTTATTTGGATGTTTACGAGAAATGAAAAGAAAATAAAAATTTTACTGAATTGGACTTTTAGTCTAAATTTATTAATTAGAAATTAAAATATGACGATATTTAACCTCGAAATTCTATGAAATACTGCAAAATCCGAAAATAGGATTTGAAATTTGGCTCAAAATTATGTGGTACCAACCAATGGAATTCATTTGAAATCCATCATAATTTTGAATTCCTTCAAAATCCGACCGGCCAAACAGAACATAAAACATATTTAGCCTAATATGTATCTTAAAGAATATTGCAACTTTGCACTTTTTTTTCCAAATATAGAATAAACATGACTTTTCTTGATATATTTTATTTTTGTAAATTTTAAGCTTTCTGATACTTTTAAAATATATTTTATTTTAGTAAAAGTCTTTTTTTTTTCCTTTTAGTTTCAGAAAAGGTAAAAGTCTTTTAGGTATAAGAACAAAATTGAGATTTTTAGAAGCACTAGTTAGTATCGTGTGAATTTGCATTGCACGTGGTTATAAATATTTTAATATAATATTTCTAATAATTTAACATATAAAATAGAATTTTTAAATGTACTAATATTTTATTTCAAATAAAATATATTTAATATATCTACCAATTTAACATATAGAATAACAATTCATCGAAACTTATAAGTGATACTAATATTTTGTTTCAAATAAAATATATTACTATTTGTTGACATTTTCAATAAAAAAGGTATAGTCTTCAAACTAAAACAATAAAATAAGAGGTATAAAAAACATTGAATATACTATAAAATTGAAATAATTAATGTGGTTATCAATTTTTGATAATCAAATCTATTGTTAATTGAAACATAATAAATTAAATCAAATTATGTAACTAAAAATTCGAACAGTAGTGAAATAATTTGTTAGATTGTCAAAATTATAATTAAATATTAAATGATCGGAACAAATAAAATTACTTATTTTTACTCTTAAGCTACTTTCTAAAATTGAAAAATCAAATATATTTTTTCTATTTTTAAAAGGATAAATATAAATTATACTACACCATTTAAATATAATAATAATTAAAAAAATACAATCTATAGCACAATTATTAGCAACTTTCTTAATCTAAATATGGATACAAAACTATTAGACAATTTAAAAAATGGATGGTACGTTAATGTAATATTATGTAGTTAAAGAAATAATGTTTTGATATTAAAAAAACTAAAAATATTAAATATTAAATCAAACTTGAAAACAACATTAACTAAATATTAAAACACAATATATAACTTAAAAGTAAACCACATAAAAATATTAAAATAATCTAAAAAACATAAAAGTTGAAAATAATACGAATACATAATTTTGTTACTCTACATCTTAATCGATTAAATATGTTTTTGGATTCTCAAGAATTAACTTCTCTCAACACACCTAACAGTTACAACTCTTTTGGATTAAACTCCTTGTTTCATTGAATGGTCACAAATTTTTTGGATCTCTCGTATTGGGGGCAAAATGGGGAGGTAAAAATTTTCCTCCATAACCCCATTTAGATATAGTATACATATAGATAAGAATAATATTGTTAAGCGACCATGATTATTAGCATAGCTCTAACTAATCAAGACATATATTATTGACAGAAAAAAAAAGTCATAGACTATTGTTACAACATAAAAATATTAGAATGAAAATATAATTTAACAAAAGTACTATTCAAACAAATTTTCACAACAGAAAAATAAAATTTTTGTTTCACCCAATTTCTAATTTGATGGTGATAAACTAACTGAAGGGGTTTTTGATAAAATACCTCCAGAAATAGATCCCAATTATACATTTTATTGAAGCTTTTATCCATAGTGGGAGGTAAAAGATAGGTAAAATTACCAATTTAGTCCTTAGAGACTTTTGTATTTGATTTCAAGTTGGTCTCTGTATCAAATCTCCTAAAACATTATTGTCGTTACTAGAAGTTAATAGTTTTATTACGTTTACATGTTTTATTTGGAAGAAGATTCATCATCTCACCCTTCCATGTTTGGAGAAAACGAGCTACACAAGACGATGACGTTTTGGTAGATTAACCCGATTACAAGGACTAAATGAGAACTTTTAAATCTATAGGACCTAAAATTGAAACCAGGTACAAACTGTAGGAGCTAAAATGATCCTTTAACTTAAACGATCTGACAATTTTCCAGATGAAACGAAACGAGTCCTCGATTCTTCAACGTTGTTTATCGTTCAAGAACTATAACAAAATTACACTAATCAAAATGTTGAGCAAACAGCTTTTGTACATTCAAGACTATAAAAAATAAAAAAAAAATTAATGACTATGGAACCTAGCAACAAGATATGAGCAGCCAAGTGTATCATAAAGAGGAAAATCAAATAACTATTTCTAGCAAGAGAACAACTTTCTGAGCTTGAACTACTAACCTCTTTCTAGTGCACTTCAGTACTCATTAAAATGAATTGCACCAACTTTCCACACAATGTAAGTGGTAGCAAACATCACTGTACTGATGAAAACAAAGGAAAAGGCGATGACAAACAGATCTGAACCCCCGGGAAACTGAAAAGTCCAGCCTGGTTTCGGCATCCCTCGCTTGCTATCATCGAACAGATTTGTAGGGGCTTCTGGAAGCCTCGTCCTTTTCTTCCCTTGATCGTTCTCCCGTAAAGCTTCCAAAACTTTGCTGCCCATGTCGGATTTGGATGGCTTGGATTCGTTGTTGTAACGGCTAAGGACACGGGCTGCCCTTAGTCTTTCTCTTGCAGTTAATGGAGACTTTCTTGTGGATTGTGAATCAGGAGATGAGCTTGTACCTGGACTCTGATTTGAAGACAGTCCTTGTCCATTGGAAGCCTCATAGGAAGACTCATTGTTGTTAACACTTAGTTGAGAAACTATGCTTTCTGCCGAAGCATCCAAAGGCGGTTGATTCACAGCGGAGGAATCGTCGTCGGGAAGAGTTCTTCCAGTAATTCCAGAACCTTTCTCATTGGTGTCTGTGTCTACCTGGTTGCTGCCTGCAGCTGCAAGAGAAAGAGACAATCCTTGTCTTCTCTCCTTTGCAATTCCTCTTGTGCCATACGTCCCGTAGAAGGTTGTCAGTTTGTTGACCTTTGGAAATGAGGGTCTCGAAATGTTCTCATTGGTGGTTTGCAACTTCTGAAGTAGGAATAATTAAGGGAACCACAACCACCAAGATTATGATGGCTAGAACAAATATAATGTAGTTGACATGTCATAAAGTAATGGTTAAATTACTAGACTAGTCCTAAACTTCCATGAGCATATCTAATAGGTCCCTAAATAACTTGAAAAAATGTCTAATACATATCTGAACTTTCGATTTTTTTTCTAATATGTTCCTAAACTTGATGTGTCTAATAGGTCCCATAACTTCTAAATTTGTGCATGATATGACCCTAAAAGTGTCTAACGAGACCTTTGACCTTTGAATTTTGGTTTTAATAGGTCCACAAGTTTTTAAAAATATCTTATAAGTTAGGGACCTATTAGACACAAAATTGAAAATTTAGAGATCTATAAGAAACTTTAAAATTCAAGGATCTACTACACATAGTTGAGCGACTAAACTTGTAATATTTAACCTAAGTAATTAAGTACTGAACAAACAGAACAGAGAAGGCATAAAAAGCTTTAAGGCATTAGTTGGACCCAATGATGATTCAAATGAATGTTCAGTACTTGATCTTTTAAGCTCAAGAGAACATTAAGTATGAAAAACTTATCAGTAATACCAGTTGAACTTAAAGTTTCATATCCAGATGCTCTGCCAAGTTTATCATAACAATGAAATTATGAAGGCGACATAAACTCAACAGATCACTAGCCGTTCAGAGGGAAACGAGGAATCTATTTTTAGGCGACCTTCAAGTGTTTCAGACTAGACATGAAACTTTAAAGGGTCTACAGGACTAAGTTGAGAAATCAACTTTTCTTTGCAATTTCCCCTTTCAGCTCAGGATATTGTTGATGCTGCCATTCCAATGTCGGTATCTTACTCATTTCAAAACAGAACATTCATTTTTTGGTCTAATGATTTGATTTCTAGAGTCCTCCTAATTCCAACACTTTAGCTTGTTGATATTTATATCAAATATTGCCATGATTTGGCTGTTCTCTCTACATCTCAATTTAGACAAGGAACACCCTCCCAAACCCACCACAGTGGCACAGTATGTATCTCAGACGCTTGAGAAATATTCCAATTCAAATACAGAGAACTTTAAAGTTCTTGAGCAATCATACAGTAAATATAAAACGGAAGAGAGAAATCCCATTTCACACTATTGAATTTATCAAAAGAAAATTACAGAAACCTAAAACAGCACCAGGAACACTGTCTCCAACATCACTTAACAAAGAATAAGAATCTTCAAATCTCATCAAAATTTTAAGCTCCTTTCCGTGCTTAGGTCGATTTATCATCCAATTTCAACCAAAATCGCCACAGAACAAATGTAAATGATCTCAAAAAAGCGAATCGTTCGAAACAAACAAAAACAATAAGGGGATGCAGTTCGTTCATAGATACTGAAGTAGAAAAAGAGAGAGTGGTACCGTTGAGTTGAAGGCGGCGAGTAGATTCAGAGAAACAGCCATTAATGGAGATTGGTTTTAAGGCCCAACCATAGAGAAGGAGGATTTAGAGAGGAGAAACAGCTCCTCCGATGGCCAATGGTTCCTTCATTTTGAGTATTTTTGTGGGTAATAAAATGGCGAATGGCCTGTAATCCAGAATCAAGAGGATCAGGGATTTTCCCGCTTCACGCTCCATTTTGGCGCGTGTATGTCACTCCAGGTCTTCGGAGTAGAATTACCTTTTCACCCTCTATCTAGAATAATAATAGATTCATTCTAGATTCTCCGTGTATTTATTTATTTATTTTTAGTACAACAACTGGAGGTAAAGTAATGCTCACTTTGACAGTAGTCTGTGTATTTAAATTAGTCTTGAATTTGTAAATTTTTAAAAAATACTTCTTAAAATAAAACTACCTTTAAAAATATTGTGAATCCAAGCTGCGAGGAGTAGTTAATTCAAATCTCCACCTCCACCGATACTAAAAAATCTCTCATCACAGGACCACATATTTTAAAAGAAATTGTAGCATGTTAGTATCTTAAGAGACTTGAAATCCTATCGTTTTCAAAAAATCATGCCTTGATTTTCAAAAGGGCATTATATTTAAAATTAGTTTCGATTTAAAAATATTTTAACACATTGTTTAATTTTTTGTAATATTAAAAAATTCCCTTTGTGTAACAGTTATATTTTTAAATTAAAAAATTATAGTGCATAGATTTCTTCTCGATAAGAAACGAGGAGTATAGAGACTTTTAGATACATAGTTAGAAAGTTTAATTATTTATTAATTTTTAAGTAAGGAATTTATTAGAAAAGTTAAAAGGAATAAACCTATAATTACACTAAATTTTTATTAATTGAGAAGAATCTCATGAAACGTGTTCACTTGAAGTCTTTTATTTTACTTGTACGAGTTATGTTCATCTCATAACTTATTCATATCTAAGGTTTAATGTGATTTTTTTTTCTTTTTTTTTGGATAATTAGGAGTTGGAGCTTTGCTCTCCTATATCCAAAGACACCTGCATCCGCCCCAATGATCTCAAGTCCTTGTCAAATGGATTACTCCTGGGGGGCGTCTAAGGTTTAATGTGATAAAATTAAAAAAAAATTCTATTTAATGAACTTTTTTCAAAAAATTATCATGCCAAGCTTACTGTTTCTTATGAGAGGAAAGTTAATAATCTATGAAAAATCAAGACTATGCATGAATTTGATCATACATTTTCATAATCAATACAATGGGAAAAGGAATTTTCCAAACCAAAATTTAAGGGAATTTTCACACTATGATTARACAAATATGAGGTGAAGATTTGAACTTACTCGGAAGAAGTAAGATGCCTACAACTCTCTGTTACAAAACAAACAGTATACATCAGAATAGAAAAATGGTTTGGTATTGTAAAGTCAAAGAAGATTTGGACATTAAATCAGAGCTCTAAGTTCTTTAACCTACTTTGCTCAGATTTCAGAAACTAGAACTAAGAAACTAAGCAGAAGATCAATTACAGTATTTAGAGCAAATACCCACTTGCTCTTCACCTTGAAATCGAGCCTAAAACTGGTCGGATTGCTGCCTTGAAATCTTCGTAAAACTTTTGCTCGGAAAATCGCCCTGCACGTCTCCTCGCAGCAGCAGCCATCTTAAGTCTCTCGGGTTCGGGCATTCTTACAATTTGCATGATGGCATCTGCATATTCATCCACATTGGTGGCGAGGAATCCAGTTTGTTGTGCGTCTTCTTCAAGAACTATGTCCATCTTTGGTCCAGCAGAGTTATGAGCTGAAAGTAAAAGAAAAATATAGGATTTTCAGTGAAGGTTTATAAACCAAAAGGAAAATAAGTAAAAGTGAAGTAAAAATGAGTCTCCCACCAATTGGGATTGCTCCTGCAGCCATGAATTCCACCACGCTAATTCCAAAATGTTCATCCGTCATCGAATGAATTCCCGCCACAGCGCCTCCTAGAAGGTCCACCAAGTCTCTGCATGAATCCAGGAGTTGCAAAAGCTTGTAAAGCCAATATAAGAAGTTAACAAATTACAGTTCAAGATGAAGTTCAAAGTCCAAATCAGATCTTAGCACCGGGAAAAAGTAATATTTCGGTGTTTGAAGTAGAATTCATTTTATTGAATCATTCGAGGTCCAATGGAAACAGAATTCTGGAGTCCTTGTTTATCATTGTCATATAACCAGCGAGTGTTAGTGCCTAGGTCAACAGTTTGAGTTTGAAGTTTACGTCTATTCTTCTCATTAGAAAAAAAAACTACTTCTATTGTGGGGTTCTCTTGTTTTATAGGATTTTTCATAGAGGTGGTTGGATTGTTTATCAAATTTGTATCATGTATCCGCCATTTACATAGATGTCCTTTGATAGGCCTCGGATGGCCTATCTGCAATATACTTAATTAATCGCCCACAAAACAGGGCGCAAAACAGAAAGCAAGCTCAGCTCTTTGAGAGGCCAAAAATTCTAACTTCTCAAATCTCAAGGATAATCTCCCTAAGGCCAAAATACAAGAAATCAGAAGATGCCGTAAAACAAGTCCCTACCCCTTAGAAATAACCCTCCCTCACGACCTATTGCCGTGACCTACTATTACAAAATGAGCCCCATCACTCTTCTTTTTTCTGTCCTTTCTTCTGTTACAAACAGAAGCGTACGGCTGGTGTTCTATGTTCCTATCATCCTTCTTATTTTAAAAACAAGTTGCTCTCAAGATGGCTCAAGAAGTATAAAATTGTCAATAAATTAAATTGAGCATGTATTTCAAATCACTGTCTAAACCCTCAAATATGAACTAAGAATATTTTGAATTCCATGATCCTGATCAAATGCAGCTCAATTAAAAGTTACTGCAAGGAAAACCAGAGACCATTAATATATTAGGATACTCTTTCAAAAAAAAGATAAAATAATGGGAAATAAGACACTCCACGGGAGGGAAATAATGTTATCCCTTTTAGCCACTTGAAACTTTTAACTATATTTAAAACATACAAATAATAGAAATAAAAACTAAGTTGCAAGTGACTAACAATAAATGGGAGCAATGAAACCTTTCCTACAGCAATACTAAGGGAAACTTTTCTGAGAGGAACTAACCTGTACATTAAATTCTTGTAGAATTCCACATCCCCATCAACCTTCAGTTCAACAGCCTTGTTTTTCAAATTTTGGAGTCTTTCTTCATCTGCGTTATTGCGACAACTGCCCACGAACTGGAGCTTAGGCCTCACTAAGCTTGCATCTAACTTCTTGATGGCAACTGAAAATGCCTCAAGTTGGAGTAAATGTGCCTGAGATGATCAATTTCAGGAATCAAAAGACTTGATAACAACTGAAGGCCCTAAGTATGAGCCGATGGAACTTTAGTACCTTGGATCATAAGGTTCATATAAGAGGGCCCACCTTCTCTGGACGAAATTGAGCAACAGATATAATTATTGGAGTTCTAGTGGGTCGTTCTAAAGGAAGTGCCTGTGCAGATAACAGCTTGTTATATGCAACCAGTGGAATGAACTCACCAATAGAGAGAACTTGATAGGATCAATAAAATTTCTTCAGGGAACATCAGAAGACAAACCTGTAATACAGATGTATCACATGGAGGATAAACTCGCTTTGTACGGTCTGGAATTTTCCAGAGTTTTTCGATGTGAGATCGAGTCCACGAAGAATTAACCATTGCAAGATGGGTAAATGAGCCCACAAATCCATACATCCAGCTAAAAATAACATAATAGATAACTTTGCATTGAGAGAGCCACGAGCTGCCACAGAGAAAATTTGTCATACACAACACTAAAATATGCAACATTTGCTAGAAAGTTCTCATGAAATTACATTAAGGATAAAATCACCAAATATCAAGGACATGCAGAGCTGAGTTGGACAAGAAGATTTTTACAGCACCAAATTCACATTCGTAAGACTACGGAGGAGCAGTTGTGTCCTATGGAAATGCTAAATGAGGGGGCCGAAAGGAAGCAAGAAGGGAAAAAGAACATCAAAAGTTGAGGGAAAGTAAATCCAATTAAGTATAACTTGCAAAAATATAAAATTGACTTCTAAATCTGTTGCCAATTATTTGGGCCTTCTAAAAGTCCATCCTCCTATCAATATTAGGAAAGAAGTTAAGTGAATGAACACAAGAAACATTAGAGCCATGAGCACAAATAAAAAAAATACATCCTCTTCTGATTCTTCAAAATCCCGAATGATAAATAGTTTAAATCCTTGAAAAACAAAACAAAACAATAAACACAATCACAAGCGCACAAATACATTGGCAACCAGAGGACATAAAATTTTTCAAAAACATCCAACTGCAGAAGTTATGAACCAGACCTCTTGGCAATTGAGGAGTTATTATTATACATTGAGCTCCTCCCACGAACACGAGATAGCATGTCCAAGCTGATGGTAGGATAATGCGTGTAGCAAATAACAATGCAACCGAACAACCGAGCAAGAGGATAAGTAAACGCATATCCACTAGTGTCAAAATAATATAGAGGAGTGAATTTGCATAAGGCCTCCCATGAGAGATAGATGGAGCCAAGACTTTGACCAATCATAGTGAAGTGAGGATAAGTTGTTTCTTCAATCCAGTTCCTCTTATGAAGATGCACAACCTAGGCGAGGAATCGAGACTCGATTTAAAAGTAATAGATCAGATATACTTTCAGTGAAATAAAAAGAGGGGAAATCGTATAGTAAATAACTTCAAGAAGATTGAACAGCAGAAATGTTCGCGAACAGGATCAAAAACCGCAGTTTACTTTCCGGCATCCAAGATCAAAGCGAGTAAGAAAGAACCTGAGGTGGAGAAAGAAGTTTGACGCCAAATCGATCGACAGCACGAGCCATCAAGCTCTCCGGTGAAGCATCATGATCGCCGGTGAAGACGACGCAATCGAGGCTAGGGTTTTCATCCTGAATAGCTTTGACGGCGCACCACAGCACTCTCTCTCCGCCTCCGCCGTCGTTGGTGTAGGGATGGAAGAATCCGACGGCTCTCTTCCGGTTCCGCCGGCCATTAAGAATTCCCAAACCAATTCTTCGAATTAAGGCAACGAGAGCTGTGATCAATATCCACAGCAGCAATGCGCCGGCCATAAACTTCAAAATATCGCAGAAATTTCGATCGGAAGATCTTGAGGTCAATTGAAATCACGGTCGGCGTAGGTAATTGATATCTATCTTTGTTTCTGTTCAGGCCCAGCCATTGCGATTAGTCGGCGGGGTAGATTTGTATTTTCTCCTTTTCTTTTTAAATTAAAACAAAGGTAAATAACATTTTGGATTTTTTTTTCAATATAAAATAGAAATTGGCGTCGACTTCACTCCATCCGAATGTACATTTCTGCCTCTGAGTTAGAGAATTAGAAAAAAATGGATTTCTGTTTTTAGTTTTTTGGTCTTTTATTTTTATTTTTAAAACAAAAATCATATATATTCCTGTTTCTAATTTATTAGAAATAAAAATTTTGGTGAGAAAGAAAAGTAAAAATAAAAATTCAAAACAGAGAAAAATAAATTTTGTAGAGAGATAAATTTGAGAAGAAAATATTTTAGTGTGAGATAAATTTGTTAGAGAGAAATAAGTAAAATAAAAAGCATTTGGAGTATTTAGAAGAAAAAAAAAGAGTATGAAAAACATCATTTTTTTTAATTTACTAGAATTTCAAAATCTTTTTTAAAAATAAAAAATTGAATTAGTTATCAAACCATCTCGTTTTTTAAAAACTAAATAGAAAACGAAATAATTATCAAACAAATCCTTAATTTTTAATAATAGAGTTGTTTTCCATAGGGCGGCCATATTTTTTCTTGGTCATTTGGAAAAAAAAAACTTTTTTCTTTCATCATTTTATAACATTTAACTTAAATTTTTAATATTATCAAATTTTTACGATATAAATTTATAAATACGATTTGAAATTTTAGTTTATATATAGTTGCTTTCATGGTTGACCTATGCCATGTTGGATAATTTTATCAAGTAATACTTTCATTTAGTAAGAAATACT